TATTCACCGGTGGCCTTTGTTGTCGATCTTTGTCCCCCCAGCGGGACGAGTTTCCTCTCGGGTAGGTGGATCCCGAATAAACTACCGAAGATAGCCTTAACGAATAAGCCTTTCAATTTCCTCCTTCAGTTGTCTACAGGCTTCGGTAGTGTGGCCACGACTACGATAAAAGTGACAGTATTGATCCTGATTTCCTATGTTCGGCTTCAAGGGATATGGCCATTTTACCGTATCTTGATCTCGAACAGCCATTAACACATTTGCTCGAGATGTATTGAGAGGAGTGTACTCTTTCTCCTGTCGAGGTTCTCGTCGTGGCAATGGAGGCCTCGGGGGCAGATTGTTTTTCCATTGCTTCTTTCGTTGTGAAGAAGAATTATCTCTGTCCCTGGTGCACCCTTGTGCTTTCTAGTAGATTATTCAAACTGTTTCCTATGGGCGTTTATAGCCTCGTCCGTCGAGATTTGAGCTTCTACCCAGTGAATTAAATCGGCATACGAAGGAACAATGTCGCGCATAAGTACTGAATAGAAGGGGCCAGGGCGAAGGCCTCCAAGGAATACTCCTCTCAACAGTTCAGGATCTACTCCTGGGATTTGTCGAGCTTCAGTGGATAATTGCTGAAAATACTCCTTCAACGATTCTCCCTCATTTTAGTGGATCCCAGAGAGGTGAGAAGAATCCTTAGCAATTCTTCGGTTAGCTACGAACTGCTCGACAAAAGCTTTTTCCAATTTTACAAATGAGTGGATCGTTCCCGACTGAAGCGAATAAAACCACGTTCGAGCCTGTCCTTTGAGGGTGGCAGAAAAGACTTGGCAGAGGAGGGCATCTGAGGCTCGCTAAATGTGCATAATGGTTCTGTAGTGGTCGATATGCTTCTACGGGTCGGACGTTCCGTCGTAAGACTCGATGCTGGTAGTTTAAATCTAGCCGGAATGGGATGCTGTACTATGGCCTCAGTTAGAGGTGATGACTCCTGGAAGTCTCTCTGTCGGAGAGTTTGTCTCACATCCCTTAAGGGGAATTCTTCCTGCACCAATTTTCGCAGTTCATGACGTAGAACATTGTGAGAAAGCTCAGCAATGTGTGGTTGGGCTGAGTCTTCCGGGAGATCTGGAAGAACGCGAGGCTGCCGAGTTAAGGGCGGAGGATGTGTAGAACTTGCTGTATCAGCAAGTTCGTTATCCTATCGTAACTGAGAATGTCTTCTAGGTGGAGGAAGACGAATTTCTGTTTGAAGATGTTCGAATTGAACATCTTCAGCCCGTGGTGGATCCTAAGGGAGAACTTCCTCCCGTTGTGCTAATGCCGGCTGTCGATTCTGTCGCAGGAGTTGAAGGATCTCGTTCTGAGATTCTTCCATCTTCCAGATTCTTTCTTCTAAAGGTCCCGAGGTCGCTTCTCTGGCAGCATTCTACCCCCCAGGATGAAAAGAGGCAGACATCGGGCGTCTGTGATTGCAGACTGATTTCTGGATTGGTGGGAGTTAGAGCGAGAAGCTCCAACTATGCGACTACTACGTCTGTTAACCATTGCAACAATACTTGAAGTTTGTGGGATAGTGTTTCCCACAGACGGCGCCAAACTGTTGCGGGCTAGAATATACGCGGCGGTAGAGTTTGTAAATACGCGTCTGAGCGTTATACGAGTATTCAGCACACAAACAGAAAAAAGAATGAACACCAGGTTTTTTACGTGGAAAACCCGGAAGAGGGAAAAAACCACGGGGCCACGCCCAGTTGAAATAATTCCACTAGTATTTGTTTGAAGTACAAAGACCGATTCGTCTCACAAGTTGAGACAATCAGTTTACAATCAGCTTCTAATAAAGTTACAAAGTTCTGCAAAATCCCTCAGTTTCCCGAAAATCCGGCAGAGTTCCGGCGTATTCAGGCGGCGGGAAGAGCTCCTGCGGTGGTCGAGGAGGAGAGGATTCTCCCTTTCTCCTTTCTTCCACTCTCTTCACTTGAGTCCCCTTTGTGAAGAATGAGGGATCTATTTATAGTTTTTCTGGAGTGGCATGGCTCGTAAATAGTCGTGAGATCAGGGGCGAATAGGGAGTGGTCGAATGGACGGCCGATATTGATTCCTACGACCGTGCACCGTTCGTTGGACATTTGAAGGGCTTAGTGATGTCGGAATTCGGCGATCTTGGGCTTGTTGGATTCGTCTCGTCGAGCCGTTCGATTTGAGTATAAGCTCGTTAAAATCGGAGACCGTTTGGTAACGCAAATTATGGTTTGAACCTTCCAACAGCGCTTTGGGTCCTTGATTTGGACCTATTTGGGCTCGGGTTGGGTTGAATTTGGTGTCGTTGGGTTCGTATTTCTGAGACGCTCAGTTTTACTGTAAGCTAGCTGAAATCGGAGTTCGGGTGCTTCCGGATTTAATTTTTGAAGTTTCCGGGTTGATTTTTTCATCGAGATTCGTGCCCGATCAAGATTATTTCATGATGATGTATCAATTTTAAATACTAATTAAATGTTAAATGAGTGGAGAATGAGTGTGTTGATTCCTATTTTTAAGAATAAAGGTGATGCACAAGATTGTGCGAATTATAGAGAAATTAAGTTAATATGTCATACTTTAAAGTTATGGAGCATAGGTTGCGGCATGATACTAACGTTTCTCAAAATCAATTTGGATTCATGCCGGGTAGGTTTACTATGGAAGCTATACATTTATTGAGAGTTTTGATGGAGAAGTATAGAGAGAATAAGGAGGATCTACATTTGATATTTATTGATTTAGAGAAATCATATGGTGAAGTTCCAAGAGAAGTGGTATGGAGAGTTCTAGAAATGAAAGGTTAATAATGTGTATATTCAAGTCATTAAAGATATGTATGTAGTAGTTGTTACTTGTGTCCAGACACAAGGTGGTTTAACCAAGTATTTTCCTATGTCAGTTGGATTACATCAAGGAACCTTAAGCCCGTATCTTTTTGCTTTAGTCTTGGATGTTCTCACTAGATATTTGCAAGAGGTTTTACCCTATTGTATGCTTTTTGCTGATGATATTCTTCTTGTTGATAAGACTGAAGAGGGAGTAGATTTAAAACTTTTAGTAATATCTAGTTTTTTCAACCCACATATTCATTCTTTTCTTTTTCTCTTCTTTCAGTCTTCCCAATTCCCAATTCTCTTGATGGGTCTCCAGATCAGAATCTTCGTAAACTGGGCTATCTTGATCTTGATAGCGTGCCTCTTTAAAGTGAAATTCATCCTTTGTTTTTTCCTTTGATCGTTGATTTCTCACTTTTCATATCATGACATAAGTAAGCAGTTCTAAAGGCTTTCGTTTGAGTAGATTTAAAACTGAATATATGGAATGTACTTTTAGTAATAATGGTTCTAGTAAAATGATTGTGATTTTGTGTGATTTAATCATTAATAAGAGTACATGTTTTTTAGATATCTTGGGTCTATTGTTCAGAGTGATGGTGAAACAAATGAGGATATTATTAGTAGAATTCAAGTTGGATGGTTGGAGTGGAGGAATGCATTGAACTTGTTGTGTGATAGAATAGTCCCCCTCAAACTTAAGAGAAAATTTTATAAGATGGTGGTTAGACCTGCAATGTTTTATGGTGCATAATGTTTGCCATTAAAACATAAGCATAATATTAAGTTTAGTATTGCAGAGACGAGGATGCTCAATTGGATGAGTGGCTTTACTCTTAGAGACAGGATACGAAATGAGCATACATGAACAGGTTGGAGCTCCAATGGAAGATAAGATTAGAGAGAGTCGCCTTAGATGGTTTGGTCACAAAAAATGGCAGCCTTCCGATGACACGGTTAGGAAAGTAGATATATTAGATTTGAGATTTTGATGTATGTTAAGATGGGTAGAGGTAGACCTAAAAAGACTTGGTTAGAAAATATTAAAAATGACCTTTTTTATTAGATTTAAATGAGAATTTAACTTTTAATAGGGCTCAATGGAGAAAAAGTATTCATGTAGCCGACCCCACATAGTGGGATAAAAGGCTTGATGTTGTTGTGGTGGTGGTAAAAAAAATTTCACGATGACCTTCTATTAAAACAACTTTATAATATTACAATCTTAAAATGATTTATGTGATTATTTTAATTTATTAACATTGGATATGCAGTTAATAAAATATGAAGAAGATTCCCAGGGCGACTAAGGTTGATGATGTTATCTTCACAATCACTGAAGATTCTTTCATCTCTTTTAGGAAAAAAATCTATTTTCCTAATGATCTGGTGATGAAGGTGCCGGCAAGATCTGAACGTGCCTGCTTCCCTCCCCCGAGATACGTGACGGTGTACGAGTTCAGTTTGCGAGCGAGGTTGCGGTTTTTGCCGCCTCTTGAATTCCATTTTTTTTTCTTGCTCTCTTATTCTTCCTCTCCCACTCTAGCATAGACTACCTACTCACATTTATGCATCTCAATTCTCTCCCTTCTTCCCCTTTCCCTCTCACCCTATTCCCCCTTGACAAGCTCAATAGGTAGAACTGAGGGGTAACTGCTCTAGGTAGGGCCCCATGAAGTTTCCCCTTCAAAAGTTTCCCACTTAAAAAATCCTACTTTTTTCTCCTTTTTGCGTGTATGCATTCGATTGCTAAACTCTTTCATCCTTACAGATTGCGGAATCTCTTCTAACACGCAACAATGGTGAACACAATGTTTGTATTGTAATTTCAACTTTAAATCAAGCAACCAGACAGGAAAATTTACTGCAGACCGTTTAAATGCATATCATCACAGAAGCTTTAGACAATGTGATCCTACAGTATTGCTGGTGGTAAAAAGCAACATGCATGATATTTTCCTGCTAACAATACTACAGTAAATAGTGTTATGAGAAGCTTTTGCCAGGTTGTAAATGTTAAAGCAATATTGTAGTAGTTAAAATTATTTCCATTCGCATTGAAAAAATTGTTCTGTCTAATGATCATACTATCAATTGTTTATAAACCTTTTCATGGACTTGTGTAACTGTTCTTTTATCTTTTGATATTTTCAGGTAACAAATGAGGTTGCTCTATTGCTGCTTGGTGGTGCAATTATTCTTATCTTCATTCCATTCAAGTATATTGCTGCCTTTATTGTTCTTGATCTTTTTACAAGAGAAGTCGAATTCCGAAGAGAGATGACAAAGAAGTTCATGAACTTTTTAAGAGAGAGATGGGCTGCTGTTTATGCTTCTCCTGTTGTTGTACTGCCATATGAAAATAAAGAAGATGGCTCTACGGACAATGATGCTAAGATAAGTGATGGATCTAACTCACAGGGCCTTCAAACTAATCTAAATAACTCCAAGCCCTAGCAGCATGGGAGATTTCTGCTATGTAAAATGTGTAACTATTTCTGTGAATAAATTAATGTGATAAAGCTGATGATTCTTTTACTACGTAATATTCAAAGATATGCAATGTCCAACACATGCAGGAAATGATATGCGTCTTACATACATCTCATACGTACATCGAATATGTATTTAATATGCTATTGATTGGTGTGTCGATAAAAATAAATAAATAAAGGATGCATGCATTGAATACATCTATCTCAGGTTTCATGAAATAATGGAGATTGAAATAGTGATGATGAGAATGATGAAATTGCTTATTAGAACAAGTTGAAAATATCCATTCGAGTTCAGACATGTGATGCTTACAACAAGCTTTTGTTTGTTTTGGTAACTTTTATGGGGATAGAGTTAGGGATAAAAATAATAAGGTATGAGGTGCAGGCTCGGTGGCCTTTGTTTTGTCCCTTAAACCTTGTAGAAACGTAACAGCTGAGGATTGATATGATTTTCTTAAGAAATTGCTTCCTTATCTTTGTTCGGTGCAATGCAGAGAATTCTGAACTTCCAAAGACAGGAACAAATTTATGTCGTTTTCATATCATGCTTGCAAAATGAAGTTGTGCATTTAATTAACAAAACCAATTTTTTATTTTATAAAGGAGTACGTTTTTTTTTTGTTCTTTTCAAGTTTTTCGTTGATGAAAAAGGAATATGCACGTTACATTTGATTATATTATATTAACTTTATTCTTTATTGAATGCCCAAATTTTTTATTTTGTTGCGTTTAAATTAATATTATAATCATTGTGATTGCATCTTATTTTATTGTTCTCAATTTTTTTTATAAGTTTAAACTTTTTTGAATATTTTATGAGTTTTATTAGAACCATTGTTTTAAAATTGGATCAGACGGTTTGATTAATTTGACTGTGAACCTGACAAGTTGTTAGTTCGGTCTAGTTAGAGAACCAGTTTCTCACCGAACCAAATAGAATCAATTTGGACTGGTATTTCAGTCGGAAAATTCTGGCTGGTTCAATATATATTATTTTTATTTCAATCAAATTTGTCATCTTAAAATTTTAAATTAAGTAGCTATTAGCTTGCAACAACATTAATTTTATAAGTTAATTTAAACTATTTAATATGCATATAATTATATTTGAAATACATATAATTAATTGAGCTTTTTAGTAAGCTTTATATTGAGCTTTAATTGAGCTTATTCGTGAACTTTAATTAAAGTAGTTATGAATTTTTTGTTAAAATTTTAATTATTATGTAATTTAAATTATATTTGAAATTTTTTAGTATTTATTGTGCCATCCGGTTCAACTCAGATTTGCTCCTAGTTAAACCATCGAATCCTGAGCTTCTCCTTTTGATTTGTTATTTGGTCTGATTTTCACTACCTCAATTAGAACCTTTAATTCAACTAATCAAAAAATTATGTTGATCAGGCACGAATCTCGAGGAAAAATCAAGTTGGGAACTTCAAAAATTAAATCAAAGACTATCTGAACTTTGATTTCAGCAAATTTACAGTCGAACCAACAACATCAAATTTGACTCAATCAAGCCAAAATGAGTCCAAATTAAAGTCCTAAAACGCATTTGGAAGGTTCAATCAATAATTTGGATTATCAAATAGTTTCCAAATGTGACATGCTTTTAGTCAAATCGAGTGGCTCGACGAGATGAATCCAATGAGCCTAAGATCGTTAAATTTTGATATCATTAAGGCATTCAAATACCAAATAAGCAGTCCATGATTGAGGGAATCCACATCAGCCGTCCATTCAAAACACTTCAAAATTACCCTTGATCTTCATCTTATTTATTGGTCATGCCACTCTCATAATACTATAAATATATCCCTCTTTCCTCTTTGAGAGGGGCGCGGGGTAGGCCCCCGAAGTAAAGAGGGAAAGAAGATAGGACTTTCTTCAGACTTCCCACCCGACGCCATACTTGCGCCCATCGCCGAACTTCCGACCGTCTATAGATTTTTGCCCGACGTCAGACTTTCTCCCGTTGCTAGACTTCTGCCCATTGTCAGACTTTCATCGGACTTCTACCCAATATTGGACTTCTACCGTTGACTGACTTTCATCGAACTTCTAACATACACCAAACTTTTGCTCATCATCAGACTTTCGTTGAACTTCTAATCGACATCAGACTTTCACCCGTTGATGGACTTTCATCGGACTTTTAACTAACATCGAACTTCCACTCGTTATCAGATTTTTACCCGATGTCGGACTTCCGATTGTCGGCGTACTTTCATCAGACTTCTACCCGATGTCGAACTTCTGCCAGTCGTAGGATTTTAACTCGTCATCAGGCTTCCTCCTGTCATCAAACTTTCGTTGGACTTCTACCATACACCGAACTTTAGTTCGTCGCCAGACTTGTCACAACCCGACCCGATCCGAGACGGATCCCGCTCGCACCGTGCCAATCGGCCTGGCCGAAGTCCTCGATCGGCCTGGACGATGCTTACAGAAAATCACCTGGAGCAAATTTGGGCAAATTCTGGAGCAAATTCTCAACTGATCGTCCCAGGACGATCCCAGATCGTCCTGGACGATCCTGGAGCAGATTTTTGATATTACAAGACTTTTGTCTGACTTCTACTCGACGTCGAACTTCCATCCGTCTCCAGACTTTTGCCAGTAGTCGGACTTTCGTCAAACTTCTACCGGATGCTGAACTTCCGCCCATTGCTAGACTTCTATCCTTTGTCAGACTTTCGTCGGAGTTATGCGTGATGCCAAACTTCCACCCATCGTCAAATTTTTACCTAACGTCAGACTTCCGCCCGTCGCTGGAGTTCTGCCCATCGCCTAACTTTCATCAAACTTCTACCTGACGCCGAACTTTTGCCCGTCGTTAGATTGTGGTCGGACTTCTACCCGATGTTAGACTTCTGCTCATCGTCGGATTCCTACCCAATGTCAGACTTCCCCCCGTCAACTATCCTCTGACCACCGTTGCTAGACAATGACGTTTCCAACCTACATTTCCAGCCAAATATGGTCCTTTCAACATCTATCATTATCGAGTACGATCCTTATGACCTTTATCATTAAACAACAGACCTTCCAACCTCCGTCACCCACCGTCTATGGTCTTTTTGACCTCCGTCGCTATACAACAGTCTTTATGACCTCTGTCTCATGTCAACTACAGTTCTTCCGGCCTCCGTCGCCAGATAATGTTCTTTCCGACCTTCGTTGCCACATACTATGATCCTGTCGACCAAACTAGCACATCGATATTGATTCTTCCAATTTTCAACATGTAAATCATTCTATATGATGTATATTTATTACATCAAGCCAATGGATTCTCTCTAATATATCACAAGCCGGCCCGGCTAGCCCGAAATAACGGGGCGGGAATAGATGATCGTACAGAAAACACATGTAAACCATAATCAATTTCATTTAACTTTTATAACAGAACATGAACATCATCCATTAATATATGAAAGAGCCACTAATAATCAATTTCATTTAACTTTTAAAACAGAACATGAACATCATCCATTAATATATGAAAGAGCCACTAAAAACATCAAATCAAAGTGTTTCAATTTGTTTCTTCTCACACAAAACTAAAAACATAAACATCCACAATTACATAAACTTCAACAAACTGTTCAGATACAAACAACTAACTCAAACTAAAAATAGTAAACATAAAACATTTCTTCCTGAGGTCCTCTACGACGATAGGTATACTGTCGTCTCGTAGTCATCACTTCTTAATAATATATCCTGAAAAACATTTATAATAATAGGATGAGCCAACACTCAGTAGGTGATAAACATTTATCTGAAATTCACGAAATATTTTTCTTTTCTTTCTTAAACATATCATTAAACATGAAAATGAAACAACAAAAGATCATAATAAACATTTAGGCATGAATTTATAAAATATTTTCATAATCATTGCTTAAAGATTTCATTTAATCCTTCTTCCTTTCTTTTTCATAAAAACTTTCTTTTTCTTTAAATGATTTCATTGAATGCATAAATTTCATAATTGTAATATAATAAGCACCCGTCCCTAAAGTATCAGAGTTTTATACTAATCAGGTACACAATAATTGGTCATTTCCTTTACCATTTGGCTACGTAGAACCCCATTACCATTTGGCTCTTCCGAATCATCATGGACATGCACTTTATAATACTTATATTAATTAAGGAAGCTAAAAATTAATCATTACATCATATGTACTTTAATGATTTTTGGGTAATAAAATTTTGTATCTCTTATGCATGAAGTTGTTTAATTTGTTTTAACATTTTAAGTAACATGTCATATGTAAAAACAATAATTAAAAAGCTAAAACAATAATAAATAATTCATAAACATTAACTTGTAACATTTGAAAGTGCATTATTACATAATTAAATTTTATAAAATTAATTTAAATGTAATCACCTACCTTGCAAGTATCGAACAATAACCACAATGTTGTATGATGTTGATTAATCACATATTGTCTCATTAATCCACACCTAAGGATAATTACAACTGAACTAAGCACACATCACAAAAATTTTCAATAATTAAAATTCTATTTTAAGAATTATTTAAAATCCAAATTTTAGGAAACCCTAAATTATAAGTTTTCATCATATCATCAAGCTAAATATTTCCCTAAACCTAATTAATAATTAGGTTAATTATTTTTGGATTAAATTAATCAAGAAATTACTAAAAATGAAATTTTTACTAAAAACTTAAAATTTTTCCTTATAAACATTTCCAAAACCCTTAGGAACCACTTTTTTAAATGTATCTTAAGAAAATTAAATTTTCGATAAAAACCCTATTTTTTCAATTTCCAAAAACTTCATTTCTACCATTAAATCATTCTCCTAATCCTTACAAATCAATTTTGTAAAAAATTTGGAAGAAAAAATATATTTTTGGAAAAACCCTAGATTTTTTTTCAAATAACTCGAGATTTAAAAGGATTTGCTTTAAAAAAATCATACATTTGTAAATCCCTTATCGTCATATTCGATTTGCACTAAGTTTCTGGCCAAAAAATTGCCACTGGAGAAGAGCCCGTCGCACGTCCGTCCGCCCTAGCCGTCTGCCCTCTCTAAGTTTCAGTCAAAACTTGCAAAATAATGGGGAAGAGGGATAGGTTTGTTCATAATAGAGAGAAAGGGAATTGCCAAATGACTCATATGCCCTCAATTAAACAATTTTTGCTTAGGAAA